ATGATCAGTAGTTTCTCCATTTCGATTACCGCCTATCCTTTCCGCGACAGATTAATTCGTTCATGAGCCCTTAGACAAACAGCGCTTGTGTGGCGTCTCTTCTGAGCGTTTTACCGTCACATCTTGCTGCTTTTCTCAAATTTTCTTTTCCAATTCTGTTCGCTTAGGTATGCTGCATTCTGTATCTTACAACGATGCCCGAAACGCGTAATACTACCAGTTGCTTTGCCATATGCAGACCTGTCAGCTATAGCTTGTTCATCGCACAAAGTCAAATGGACATCACCTACAATACCAGCATCTTCGCAGGTCTGGTAGCAAATGCTGAAAAATCAGTACGACTCACGTTTCTGCCTACAAAGAATGGAGTATCCACAACGCAGGATTTTCTGCACAGTCGATGTGCACGGTACTTTCTAAACTTGCTAGCTCACTTCTCTGGATCTGATCAGCAGATTCTCTTATAAAGCAGGTTTCTGGTCCATTCTAGAAAATGCCATTAACCTCGGTGATAATCCTCGCCGATGCAGATAACCTTGTCACAGTGCTACACAGCTGTGTTCGAAGCTTGCAAAAACGTGCCGTAATTTTCCATCTTCTGTTGTGTTGTTAAAGCGTTTTTAGTATCTCCTTGTTTTTTTTTCGTTCGTTGCACACCCAGTTACAACTGGAAGCAAACTTCTGCTATCGTCGATGGTAACAATCTAAGTACGAACTCCTGTCCTTAGACAGAAGGAAAGTCAACCTTAATTTTTGTAGTTTGTGTTGACAGTCATGGTGCTATCTATTATTGTTCTTTTGAGCAACGTTTGTGTTAAATGATGCGTTCAAGTGGATTCAGTGCAACTGTTGCGATATAGAATGACGAATTCACGTCGTTTCTTCCAGTCTGCACGGCATGAGCACAGAGTTCCTTTGTTTTTTAGGCCTGGCGACGATTAACCAAACCTACAGGTCTTGGTTTCTTGGTATTAAAGACTTCCTGTAATGATTTCCTAGCTTTTTAGAAGCAAAGCAGCGGTGCGATTATGCCTTCTAGACTCGGTTAAATGACTTATAATGCGGGGATCTATTTTGTCACCTTT